CATTCCCCGCCGCAACACTCGGCCGTGCAGAGTCTCTGTCTTCACGGACTCCCTGTCACTCCTCATGGCGCTCCAAAAAGGTCCCCTGACAGTAACAGACCCCATATTGAGAATACTATGGAACCTGTTATTGGACATGCAACACCGCAAGGCACGCATACGACTACAATTTATATTTGGCCACTGTGGCGTCAAGAAGAATGAGGCACGTGATAAGAAAGCCAAGGCGGTCTTTGATATACCGCAGTTCGAGGACACATGGATACCGGACGTGGTTGTCTTGGGCGAAACGTCACATACGTAGCCAGCTGCCCAAACCATCCACCCACCGCTCCAGCATCACAGGCCATTGCAACCCCACACGCAATGATCCCAGCTTAACTCGGGAAGAAGAGGCGGCTCTGGCTTGGCTTCGCACTGGCGTTTCTCATCGCTACGGCTGGCTGCTGCGAGTATTACAGCTCACAACGCCAAATGTATGCATACGGTGTGACCCGATAGAGCTCACTCCGCCAGACCCAAGGCTCAAACACACAAAACCAGACACAGCAACCGATCCAACCCTCGATCGCAAAGAAGTATCGAGAAGAACTCGCTTGTGAACCATGTGGCGTTGTATAAAGCAGAAGGGGGGTCTAGCACGGCACCATCCATACTTCTACAACCTGCCATGCCCAAACGCAGAACGTAAACGACCACAGGGGGTTGAAGAGAAGACCAACTACTTGACTTCTCAATGTAAACACTGTGAATTCGGAGCCCTAAGTAAGACGGGGCTCCTATCCCGCATTCGTGCCAAGCATCGCTCCCCACAAGAGCCGACAAGCGAATAGGCACCACGACCCAAACCTTATTGTACGATTTGCCAAGAGGTCATGGGCAACGCTGGAGGAATGGCAATCCACATGAAATACAAGCATCACGAGAGACCAAGCAATAATAGGACGCGAGAGCCACCCAAAGATACACCAAGATCCCTCAAGCGAGAGGGAGAAGAATCCCCTACCTTGCACGCCACAGCCATGAAGAAGGGAATGACGAAGCATTATCACATCTTCCAAAGCGTACGAGAACAGAGGTATTCCTCACGATAGAAGCACCGATAAAGGACGAGGGTAAACGGCCCCCTACCACCAGAGCGGTGGAGGGGAACACAATGCATGGTGTATTTGAAATGGTTCGCTTCTATTGATTCAGTCCGAACGCACTGCCGCCGATTTCATGGGGGCCAAGGGGTTCCCATAACGGGGAAACACCGGGAGCTCCAGGAGGATGCCCCCGAGGAACTGCCCCCCACTGCCTTTATATGCCCGACGTGCGGATTCCAGCGCCACAGCAAACACGGACTCACAAGGCACCGCATCGTTAACCATGGATTCAGGCCGGACACCGTGAAACCAAGCCAGCGTGGTCAGTGCGAAGAGACGAGCATGCACCTATTGAGCTGTCCTGCATTAAAGAGTCTACGCTGTCACTTTGCGGTGGGCGGGAGCAACATGGAGAAGTTATGCTTTATGAAGAAGTTTGCCCAACAAGTTCTTGCACTGGAAAGGCTTTGTTCTCAACGGTCTTCCACAACGGACGTGACGCC